CGACGACGACGCGGCAGCAGTCCGATACGGACCGAGCGATCTATGGAGCTTCACTTCCGGCCGCCTGCTCAGACGTCACGTGCTGCGCGGTCGCCACGGCAACTACGGCAGCGGCGGCTACGTGGTGAAGATCAGCAAGAACAGGTGAGCGTAGATACTGGTCAGGTGTCGGCGAAAAATGCAACTCGTATGCAATATTTTCAATGCGCGTTTGTTTTTTCCTGAGAAGGACTATCTTTCTGAGCACGAGAGCATATTTTTTAACATTTATTTTTAAATTTAAAATTTTTTTTTTTAATGATTTTAACAATTTTATGGTAGTTTGCCGTGATTGGTCGTGATCGGTAGGTGTGTGTTAAAAAAAGCATCACAGGTGTTTGTGTTTTCTGTACAGGGAGGAGGCGAAACAGCAGCTCAGCAAACTGGAGGCGGGCGGATGGATTGACGCAAAGACGCGGGCGGTCGTCGTCGAATTCACCGTGTATAACCCGGCAACCAACCTGTTCAGGTGCGTGTGCAGAATTACCTGCGAGATTGAGATACACTGCACTTGATGACATAGTCGTAGACCCTTCACGCATACATTTTTCTCTGAAGTCTCGCGTCGCTGTCAAATATGACTTAATACTAAGACTTAACATGACTTATATAATATATACTTATATGACTTATGTTTATATGAATTATGACTTAATATTAAGACTTGATATGACTTATATAATATGTACTTATATGACTTAAGATTATATGAATTATTACTTAATATTAAGACTTGATATGACTTAAGATTATGACTTGGGGATGAGCAATAAGCTGGCTGTGTAGACTTTTAAATGGTTTCACGTGAAATTTGCATTTTGAACTTATTTTTCTTTGATCTTACATGCTATTAGCACTACTTCACTCGCGTCATGCTCATATGAATGTCATATTCCTATCATGTAATTCATGTGGTACTACTGCCATGTCACTCGCGTCATGCTACTATCGCATCATCCATGTCATGCTACTATTATATCATTCGTGTCACGTTACTGCCGTGTCCGTGTGTCATGCTACTATCATGTCACACGCGCTACTATCATGTCACACGCGCTACTATCATGTCACACGCGCTACTATCATGTCACACGCGCTACGAGCTTGACTGATAGACTTAAAGCAGGTACGAGCTTAACCGATAGACTTAAAGCAGGTATGAGCTTACTGATAGACTTAAAGCAGGTATGAGCTTACTGATAGACTTAAAGCAGGTATGAGCTTACTGATAGACTTAAAGCAGGTACGAGCTTGACTGATAGACTTGAAGGGTCGATATCAACCGCAGTCCGTTAGTCTGAAACTACCAGATTTGTTCATGGATGAGTGAGTCAAAGCTGTCCTTCCCTTACTTGATATGTGGATTATTTGAAAGATATACATGGTCCTTATGTCAAAGCTATTGTTCCATTACTTGATATAGGGGTTCTTTGAAAGATATCCAAGCTATACTGTCCTTATGTTAAAACTACAATGTTATATAAGTCTACTGTCTTTATAATGTGTCTAAATATTATGTTTTTAAATTGTCGCAGATATATTATC